ACGTCCAAGGTACCGTTGGAAAGCTGGCATCGCATAGAATCAGGGCGCCCAGTTACAAACACTGCATCCAAAGGACGCCCGGGCAATCTGGAGTCAAAATCAGCACTCCACCAGAACTCCACCAGAGTGAAGACCACTTTCATAACAGGCTATAACTCTACCAATATTGGTGCCGGATAGACATCCAAGGTACCGTTGGAAAGCTGGCGTCACGTAGAACCAGACCACTGAGTATGGGATGCCACACCGGAAGGACACCCGTGGAATCATGTGTCAAAGTCAGCACTTAACAAGACGCTCGCTAACTTGACAAAGCAGGCAAAGCAAACAACTAAGTCCGGAATGCAGGAGACCTGGTAGGTGGGGAGCCGGTAGGGGGGGAGCCGGTAGGGGGGGAGCCGGTAGGGAGGAGCTCATAGGGGGGTGGTTAAGGGGGAGCAGCTGGCAGCTGTGTTTATTACTCAGAATCTCAGGATGGTAACTACCAGTGGTAGTCAGCATCGCTTACTTATGATTTAATCTGGATGTGGCGCTTCCTAGCATAAGCACTAGGACGCAACCTGACTTGGCGCCCAACAACCAAACGCACAGGACGCAACCAGACCCGGCGCCCGAGTGCCAGACGTACAGGATACACTGGACACAGAATTCTTCCTACTGGCGTCTGGACGCACGGCGCGCGCACCTTACGCAGGAATAATTTTTGCTGATGTCAGGGCCACCTCCGGATGGCCGTACCAGGAAGCCGATGGCAAACGAAGACCCTGCCCCTGCAGGAGAGACACAATAACACCCGAACATCTTGCGAACTACTGCGGGGAGGCGAAACCCACGGCAGTCCCGCTCCACTCAGACCGGAGGCAGAGGGAACTCCTGGACTGGATGGTGGGATGCCCAGCTGCCCTTAAAGACAGACCAATGACTAGACACCTGAACACCTCGTGAACTACTGCGGGGAGGTGAAACCTACGGCAGTCCCGCTCCACTCAGACCGGAGGCAGAGGGAACTCCTGGACTGGATGGCGGGATGGCCAGCTGCCCTCGAAGACAGACCAACGACCAGACACCCGAGCACCCTTGGAAGAACGCAGGTGGCGGGGGTGGTGGTGAATCTCCCCACGTCCCAACCGGAAAAGGGACCCCGAGGGGGCAAGAAACGCTTCATGAAACCATGCGCAATATGCCGGGCGCTGACCCAGCGGGACCGGGTCCACCAGGAAGCCCACGCCCGCATGCACGACCCCCATAGGAAGAGGGGAAAGGGAATTCAAGAGGGTGACAAAGAAGTGGGGGGTCCGGGAGGCGGGAAGAGAAATGCCCGTCCAACCAGTAGTATTTCCTAGTGTCCATGACCACCAGGCCACGGGGGCAGGGGTGGGTTTCCTAGCATACGGTGGATTTCATTTGTCTATGACCCTGGGGGCAGAAATGGCTTTCGTTGAGTCTGGGGATTTCATTTGTCTACAACCATTGGGCTGGGGCAGGAATGGGTTTCATTGAATCAGGGGATTTTATTTTTGTCCACAACTATCGGACCAAGCAGATGGGGATGGGTTTCTTTGAGTTGGAGGATTTCCTTGATTAATAAAAAATTGGATAGGCATAGGGCGGGGTGATGGAAATTTTCCTTGGATAGAGGGGGCCCAGGCCTGGGGGGGGTGTCCCGGGATGCAGCAGAGTACCATTCGGTGAAACGCTTCGGCGGCTGTAACTTATAATGAAAACAGGTTGACACACACACACCCCTTTCCTCAACTACGACCCAATTATGAAAATAAGAGATAATCATAATTATAATCCAATCGTCCTAGAAATGCCCAACGGGACCGTACACATCCAACCTCATTACAAAGTACCGCGGCGACAAGGCCTCCAGCGTCACGACTGTGATATGAGACTGCTTTTTCGTTTGGTCTGGTAGGAGGGTAGCATTTATCTGCCGGTGTATGGTGCTCGACATGCGTACCGTACCTCACCACCATTCGCCTACTCGAGTACAGATCGGATACGGGTTGTGTGCTCGAGTCGGGGTGAGGGGTGTGCCTTGTCATTAGGGGAATGGGCATTTGGGGATATCCGGTCGGTGCGATTGGTGTACCGTATCAGTAGGGGGACAAGACCCGCCAGCTTATGATAGAACGGAACCTACAACGCGATCACTCACTCTTCCGGTTAAGAGATCCATGATACCGACAGATCGGAACCATTTGTGCACCTTTGAGGATAAGCACAAAAGGATATGATACCAGTTGAATTCAATCCGAGCCATGGGAAGAACCCTGATGTGATATGATATGACACGACACAAGCCTCCTGCTGCCTCCCATCCTGCCCGACCGCTAAACAAAAAAACGCAAACCCATCTACAATGCGGTCAACAATAGGGAAAATAAAAGAACAAAAGAACAAAAGAAAAAAAATCACCAGCCTGGGTATTAAATCTCCGGTGAGATGATAGGAAGTGAAAAAAGTAACCCCCCCTTTTCTTTTTACAAAAACCGGACATGGCCACGGGAAAAAAATAACACTAGAAAAAAAATATGTATGACGAATGTCCCCAAGTGAGTGGGGCGTGGGGGTCCAAAGAGGAGGAAGAAAAGGGCCAACCCGAAATGAGGCCCATGATGAAAAAAGTAGAAAAAGGAAACAAAAGGAAACGGCTGGACAGCCCCCCGTAGGTTGCAAATAAATGGTGAGAAGGGAAAGAAGAAAAAAAAAAAAGGGAAAATGAATATTGTACACCTGCCATGCAACATTCCATCGATCCGCCCGTGAACGCATACCCATCACTCGAGACTCCGAGACAACACCTCTCCTCATCCCGAATACCGAACCAAACCCAACCAACATCACCTCCCCAACTCACAACTAACCGCACACTCCACACACCCCCAGCCTAGTAACCACCCCACAAGAACCCATACCATCCCCCCGCCAAGCAAGTACACCCAAACCCACCGGAACCCCATCTCAACCTTCTCCCTATCTTCCAAGAACTCGGTCAAAAGCCCCTCGATCTCCAACTCCCTCGGCAACAGAGAATTCCTCCGATCCGGGGTGGTGGGCGTCGGGCCTGGAACGTCGAACACATCCGAGAGCGTGGATCTAGGACGGCTTTCTGCCCCACCGTGACGGCGCATGGAAGGAGGGGGTGTCGGCGGAAAGCCCGCACCCCCTCCAGCCCAGCTCCATGGAGGGGAATCTGGTGCCGAGGTTATATTAACAGTCGGGTTATTCCGATCTTTGCCGCCGCTTGTAGTAGAGGCACTCTCCTCACGAAGCGAGACCCCGATAGTCGCGACTTTCCGCAGTCTCCGTGGTGCCGGTGCCAGAAAGGGATGTGGGAGAGAGAGGGTCCTTGTTAGCTCGCATTTCCGCCCAACTTCCCCACTGCTCCCTAATAACCCTGGGGAGATGGCGGCATCATCGTCAGCGGAACTATTGGAATCCGAGTCCACAAATCCGCGGACTAGAGGTGTTGTCGGAGCGCTTGTCGAAATCCCGGACGATACAGCTGCTTCGGCCTGCGCTTGCAAGCCTGCCAGCAGCGAACTCAGGCGGAGGAAAGCGTCGTCCTCCTCCAATCCTCCCCCATTTCCTCCCTCTTCAGAGGGCACACAGTCATCGAGTGAGGCCGCAGTAGTAGTACTACTGCGATTCGAATTCAAAGCCGAGCTCGAGCGAGTCGGTGAGGGGGAAACGCTGGAAGGGAGTGTATCCGGCGTGATAACATCCGTGCTCCGGGTCGAGCCCAGAAGCTCCGTAGAGAACTTCTCAAGGGATATGCGTGTTCTAACACCTCCGTCAATCCACACAATCTTCAATAAGGGTGAATAATCGTAGAAACTCCATACCTCGTCAACTGCGCGACGAGATCGTCATCGTCACCGACCCCATCAGCATTTAGGCGCAGCAAACTCTTCAAACCGGTAATCTCAGAGACCAGTATTTCGCGGAGGTTGTCCATTGGGTTGCTACTCCTTCCTTCCCTCACTTCACTTCGCCCCTTCTTCTTCTTCCTGAGCCTCTTCTCCCTCACCCTTTATTCCGGGAATCCGAGGCCACGGCGACGACAAACTAATAAATGTGAATTAAACGTTAGATCCCAAAAGCATACCGCAAACCCTCAAACCCTTTAAATAAATAATAAACCACCCGGGAAAAAATAAAAGGAGAATAAGAGAAGGGAAATAAACGATTGCGTAGATAAATTATTATTTTTGTAACCCGCAGGAAGAGGTGTGTAGTAAGGTAGTGAAGCGGTGAAAGTGCAGGCAAACACAAGATTGGGGGAGGGAAATAGGGAAGAGGGTGCTAGTTTGGTCCTTTCCTGGGCCGGGCCGGGCTGAGGGAAGAAGGGTTGGAAACGACTATCAAGAGGGTGAGAATCAAAAAGCAAAACGCACCTGAAAGGCTTCCTTCCTCTCCCTTTTTGCCAAGACGGAACAGGACTCAATTAGCTATGATATTATGATAATATATGTGCCGTATGAGAAGGTTGGTGCCTGGTGCTACAGTAGCGGTACGTTGTTGCTATTCCAGACCAGCGCGTCCCGAAATTCCTTCCCTTCCCTCCTTTCAAACCCCAAAATACTATTATGAAGCGTGTGTGAGATACGAGTAACTTAACGGGGAAATGAGAAATAGAAATACTCGTACCCCGACGTGTTCCTTCTCCCCCCAAAAACCCTCCGATAAGTCAGACTAACACACGCGCACACACACGTGTTGCCACCCGAAGCGAAGCGAGAAAAACACTCCCCCTTCCCCCGATTCCGGTATCCAGTAAGAGTGCAGTACCGTATGCTTGCTAGACTAAGAAGGTTACGATACGGGGGGTCGAAAGTGTAACTTAAGGCCGTGCTGTCCCGTAATGATCTGCAGGGTGTCTGGGAATGTCGAGTCGGGGCTAGACTACCGTACCGGTACGATAGACTAACTTAAACCTTTGCGTTCGGTCGTTGGCGGGTCTAGAGCCTTGGAGATCCTGGTTGCTTTATGGTGCTGCGCTCGTCAGGATTGGTCGGTTGGATGGACTGAGGGATGGGTTGTTACAGACGCGTGATGATGTCAGGTGCTTGGGGGGACCCTAGTTTGCTTGCTGTCGGCAAGAGTACAGTAATAGGTGCTTCAGCTGGGTCGTGCGAGCGTTATGATACGTGGAGGATGGAGAGGAATAGAGAGGGCAGGAGAGAGGGACGGAGGGAGGGAGGGAGAAGGAGAGAAGGAAAGAGCTGGGGTGATATGATAAGTTAATAGCTTCATGGTTCCTTACGACGGACAGCCTGAGGCGAACGGGTCTGTAGGGAGGGCGTGTTACCGTTACAGGAGTTCACTCCGGGGGTTGGGGAAATGTACGGTGGGTATTACTAGCTGTCATACAGGTACAAAGTATGGTACAGCACCTATAGCAGTGCTATAGGGCACACATTCTAGGCCGCGAGTGAACAACAGCGGTGCACTCGCAAGCGAAGCAAAGTGAAGCAAAGAACCGTACGAGTATTGTACTGTACCGTACTGTACGGGTAAATCATGTCTCCAGCTTGTTTCATCCCATCTTCATTCCTCACCACCTGATCGTCCAACTACCAATCCCTAACCCATATATTATCAAGTGATGCAAATAGAAGAGCGCCCGATAGTGGGCATCACAGCAACGCAACTTATGAGAGCAGAAAAAAAAAAGAAAAAAAAGAAAAAAAAAAGATAATAAAAGAAACAAAGATACACCCGCTTTAAACCTACGATTCATGCACCCTATCCTATCCATCCCATTACACAAACCACCACCGGTACCACTCGAACAAAAAAAACGAGAGAGTATAGTATTGTAAATAGCGAAAAAAGGAAAGAGGAGGAAAAAGGGCGGGAAGAACAAAATATATATATAAAGAAAACTACATCTCGCCATCATTGCCATCATTGCCATCATCCCCGCTCTCACTCCACTCGGACATCTCGACATCGCTCGCTCCTCTCTGCACCTCCAGTAGCCCACTTATTTCCTCTACATACCCTTTCTGATTGAGTGCCTTCTTGACAAACTCCCATCCTTCATCCCTGTATTCCTTAATGATAGCGGGAGAACATGCGGAACAGCAGTCATATGCAGGACCCTTGACCATTATGTTCTGGAACGAGGATAGGAAGCCTCTCATTTGGTGGGGTATCAGACCTAACGGGTGATTTGGTGGACTCCGGTCCGCCTTGTCGTTATTCGGCGCAGGGGCGGCGGCGCCGAGAGGGTGTTGGAGGACTGATACTAGCGTTTCCACCAGCAGCGCACTAGCGATAGGTGCTACACCCGGTCGAGTGACGGTACACTGTTGGTCAAGTGTTCTGTCGGCCAAGCTCTACCAAGATGTTAGCATTTAGTGGGAGAAAATGCGGGGTAGCATATAACCAACATCCCCTGGAGCAACCACATCGCTGCAGTAATAACATCCAAGCTCTTCTCCACCCTTCTGGTCATCGGAGGGTTTCACTCCATGCCTCATAACGACATAGCTATCGAATCCCAAGGCAGCATTCATGACAGGTTTTTTCATGCTCTTTCCCATAACTGTTGGCAACCATCTACTCTCCCTTGTGTCCATGAGCAAGAATATAACATCGTGCTCCTCAAACAGCCTCCTGAGCTTCAAATAGTCTTGCTTGACACCGGCTTCCTGAGCATCCGAGAATGGATGAGCAGCCATTGGCACCGTCATGTCAAACCCTTGAGCATCGACGCCGGGATAAATCTCCTTCAGGGCCTCCGCAGCTCTAATCGCCTTCATGGTCTTCCCGCCAATGCAGTCCTGGAATGTATATAATGGCTGCCTAACAGGGTTCGAAAAGGAGACCGTTCCAGAATCGATAAAGGTGATCTTATGCACCCCCCAGCTAAGCAAGTTGCGCGCTACATATGCACCAAGCGTACCAGCGCCGAGCAAAAGACACCTCGCATTCCTGATAACATCGAGGTCTAGCTCTGGCGCGACTCGCCATTTCATGAGCTTGAGGTTCAAGTCGACGTTAATATCCGCTTGTCTACATAACGTCAGCATGTGTAATGACGCGGTGCGCATACCCTCACTTTTTCGGATCCATCTGAGCGGATAGATTTGCGGTCTTGGGGACAATTTTGTTATCGTCATTCTTCTCCCATCCGACAACTTTGGGCATCTCATCTACTCTCGTTAGGCCATAACCGGTAGCTGACGCGATAAGCTTACCGCCAAGATTAAGCTCTCCCAGCCCTTCCTCGGCCTCGAGCTCGCACTCCATGATCAAACTCTTAGGTTCAGATCGCCCCTGGTGCGTATCTCTATAGCAGAGCACCCGAACCTTCCTCCGCCCCCACCTCTTCCTCACAAGCATCAACAAGTTCCTCAAAGGCCAGCCAGGATTATCCGGATAGTCGCTTGGGTCCACAAACCCAACAAACCGGTCCTCCTCGTCCACATCCTTATCGAAAAAGGAGTGCTCAAAGTCGCCCAAGCTCCCAATCTTCCAAGCTCCCGCGTCCCTCTTGACCAGAAAGAACCCGTGCTGTCGCGAGTCGGTGCTGTACCGCCAGGTATTTATGGCTTCGACAAGAGAGGAGGTTTGGTGGCCGTCCAGTCGCTGGATTGGGGTATTGCATGTCCACTGGAGAGTGGTGGCGAAAGCGGGGAAGGCAAAGAGGTGGTGAAACTTGTATTTTTTGAGGTCCGCGTACGATAGTATAAGGAAGGAGGAGAGGAGCGATGGGCAAGAGTAAATCGAGCCGTCAAGTATCGCATCCCATATCTGAAAGCTGTCAACAAAGCCCCCAATAACAAAAGCTCCAAGTAACCGTCGGTAAGCAAGGGCATATACCGTCTGCGCAGACCGTTTGATCATAACAGTCTTTTCAACCCTCCTAAAATCCTCGATAGTATTATAGTTCTTGATCATACCCTCAGCCCGGCAGGCAGTTATCGGAACCCTAAACAAACCGTTAACAAGATTCAAACCTTCCCTAATAAACGGACAGGACCCATACTCATCAGACGTGAGTGCATTTCCGTGAAGCTGCATATTCCCGCCATCGTGAGGAAGATATTGGCCAAGGACCTTCCGGGGCGATTCGTCGAGCCTATCGTAATCGATTTTATGGCTCGCAAGGGAGTAGTAAAACGGGAGCTCTATTAACGAGGAGAAGGGAGCGTACTTCATCTTTTTTTTTTTCTCCAGGGATTTTTGATTTTGATTTTCCGAAGTTTGTTTCCCTTTCCCTTGTAGGAGAGGAGATGAGATGAGAAGGTGGGGGGGGGGGATGAGGAGAAGGGTAAAAAGAATGAGGGTGAGTTGAGGAGCGGAGAGTGGGAGGGGGGGAATGGGTACAGTTAAGGGTGGGGTGTGTGTTTCTGACAGGCGAGGAGGAGATGAGGGGGATGACGGGGACGAGAGGGGTGAGGGGGGTGCGAAGTATGTATGTACCCGTATGGTATCATAATTATCACAGCGGAGCTGATTTGGTGGGGAATGCCCTTATCTGTCGCAACCAATCCTTGCTTGGGGGAAGAGATGGGTCCCTCGATCAGGTGTTTCCCTCATTCACCTCCCACCGCGCCGCGATTGGATTAGGGTAAGTTTGGGACGAATAGCAGTGAGGGTCAAAAGAGATCTCGCGATAAATCAGACTCGTGTGTGACGCTATCGGATCCGTAGTGCTTTACTCGCACTGCGATCCACTGATTATCATACCAGCAGAGCACTTCCACAGTGCTGCAAAATTCGGGCGAGTGCTTGCAACTCTGAGAACATGCACCACCGGTTGTGCT